CAAAATGCCAAAAAAACTATAGAATGAAAATGTGTCATTCTCTTATATCAATAAAAGAATATGAGAAGTGCATGTCCTATTGAGTGAAACAAAAAAAAATTTTCTTTTTTATTTATATTTATATGTTCGACTCGTAGCTATAGAAAATAGTAATGTTTATCTAGTAGGTTCATATTTTCTTTTTTGTTTTCCTCTACTTAATCAATAAATTGATCTGTATTCTATTATTAGAGTTTCAACATGCCCCGGGAGACACTCCTTATATCGACTCTTTGTCCTATATTATCAGAAGAAAAAAAAAAGTAGTAAATTAAGTACATACGAGATACACTGACATAGAAAGGAAGTCAATCAGTGAACCATTGAATAACGTCGTTATTTGATGACAATGAAAACAAAATTTAGACAAATATATTTTTATTTTCATTGCGCTTTACTAGAATATTTCATCTGCTTTTCCTTGTTCTCTTATCAATATGTATATATATATTTCCATTGTTTTCTCTCTCTCATTTGAATACGGTTAGTATTTTTGTTTGTGCCTCTTCTATTTTTATTACTATCATCTCAAACATCCAATTGATAAGTAGCACTAGTTAGAAAAAGCATAAGCTCTAATGTGAAGACAAAGTAGGCGTTTTTATCGCGTGTTCTAATAACATCCAACATTTTTTTTGCTATTCTTCTCGTTTTTTTTGCTCTTCTCGTATTCTGACGTCGAGAGATGAAAGTAGACGAGAGCAGGAAAGTTCAAATATTCACTAACTCTTACTGACATCATACAAATAAACTGGCAAAAAACGACTGTGCGTGTTAAAATAAGTTTTTGCTTCTCTTTTTTTGTTCTCTATCGAAACTATCATAGCGTTCTCTGGAGTGATAGAAAAAAAAAAGAAAAATACATTACTACCACCATTACTACTACCATCATCATCATCATCTTTTTCTTACAGATGAGTCGATTACAATACAACAATATGACTCGATTATATATATATATTTTCTTTTTTGCAAAGAATTGTTGCTCTTGTAACTGCTATAATCACTGCTATGACTTAGTTCTATCAAATATGAGAAAAATAAGAAAAAAAAATGTAATTATCTTAGTAGAGAGTCGTCTATATTCATTTTTTTTTTCGGAAATCCTCAAATTTTTTTTTTTTTTTTTTTTTTTCATTCAATTTATTGTTCCCAATTAGTAGGGTTAACAGAAAAGAAATACAGTGTAAAGAACAAGCACAAAAAGAAAAAAAAAAAATATTACTGACAAACATAAATAAATAGATAGAGTAGAAAATTACAATCAATGAGGAAAAGAAAAGGAGATTTCAGGGTACAGCGTTACTACCAAGTCAGTTGCTCTCTGCTTCTTCTGTTCTATATATTTTTACGCGTTAATCTCTAAGTAAAAGGTCTTTTTTTTCACACTTATAAAGATGAAGTACAGAATACAAAGGGAGAAATCCGAATAATTAGAATAGATTTATACATAGAGTTAATACATAAGTAATTCGAAAGTTAACAGTACATTTATATATAAAAAACAAAAACAAACAAACAAACAAAAAACAACAAATATATATATATATATATATATACACCGAGAACAGTTTTAGAAAATTTTCTTCTTTCCTTCTTTTTTCTTCTAAAGATCTATCTCTTGTGTACTATACAATCTAATTCGGTTTTCTTTCAGTTTAATTCGGTTTGTTTTGTTTTGTTTTGTTTTGTTTTTTTTTTTGGTTTAACTGTTGTGGTTTTAAGGGGGAATTAAGTGTCTACAGATAAACTCTTTTATTTCCCTTGAGGAAGTTCGAAAGTAAAGGAAATCCTCAAATAGTTTGTCTCGTTTGCATATCTAGTGTTAGAAAGCGAGAGTCGATTGAATCAAATTTTCCGAAAAGAACGAACATAATAAATAAAAAATGATCTGTACTAGAGCATATTACATTCATACATCTACTATGAATGTAAAAGTATACAGCAGAATAATATTTTTTTTTTCTGTTGGAACATGCAAAGAAGAATTCTTATCCGTTGTATTCATTCATATGATTGCTAAGCTTAACACAATCTCTTCTATACAGCTTTGCATGTATCTTTATATGTAATATAGAAACTAATCGAGTGTAAATATGATAGACGTAACACTGGAATATATTAGGCATCAATGATTAAAATTACAATATGAATGATAGAAAATCTTTTCTTTTTTGTTTGTCAAGCGAAAATAAAAGCTTTGAGATAAGTAGAAATTATTAGAGTATAGATATTTATAGAATATAATCAAAATAATCTAGTAGAATAATACGTTTCCCATAATGTCACACAGCTCTACCAAGGGGAACAGGTACGATTTTACGGTTAATCCAAGTCTCTTGATAATATCGTCTTTATTTTAATAATACGGATAAATTTATATAAATGATTGATTGTCATTAAATTTTTTAATTGTGAAATAGAATGTGTCATGAAAATGAAAGATTAATTGTAATAGATATTTAGAATGAATAATACTAAATCTATGCATGTTCATATAGTTCAAGGTTACAATCGTCTATTTTCATGATCATCTATGAAGAAATATAGAGCAAAAAAGAAATTTTACATGTCTTTCGTGCACAAAAAAAAATCATATCGGAGCATTTTTGTCACTTAATATTATTCTTTTTTTTTTTTCTTTCTATCTAAAACAGAAATACACGATAGTCATGTAAACCATTGTATCTCTTTGAGGAAAATTTGTTTTGCAATCATCTTTGTATGTTTAACTTGGATGTTTAAAAAATCTCCAAAGAAAAAAATCTCGCTTCTCAAAGCGTTCTATTTTTTTTTTTGGCGAGATGAAACGGATTACAAGGGCGATGGACCATATGCTGAATAGGCAACGCAAATGTTTAACGAACCGACAATGACACAATGGCTCTCTTTAGCTACTTTCGGAATTTTTGATCTCGTTCTTGATGACATTGAACAATGATGGATAAATGAAGTGTGTCAATTGATATGACTTATGTACTTTTGAAAGAAAAGACAAAACACATTCGAAATGTAAAAAACAAAAATTAATAATTACTGTTTGTTTTTCTAGTATAATATGTCATTGACAATCGTTATTAATATGTTTATTTTTAGAGTAAAATTAGCATAATGTCGAATAGAAAATGTTTTTCATGGAATAATAAAGTAATATATTTATAACTCGACAAAAAAAAATGTCATTTTGTAATCCATTGTGTTATAATGATATATTTGTGTATAATTTTTTTTTTGTTATTATGATAAACTTTTGATTAATTTAAAGAAATAGAAATTTGAATATTTCTATTGCTAGAGTATTGTATGTATTAAAACTGTGTAGTTTAAGATAGAATAATTAGTTAATATATATGTATTATCTTTGAATTGGAAGTTTATTATCAGTTTATTCAATGTGTAAGATGCTCATCAAATGAGATAGAAGTTTCAAGTTCCATCGAAACTTCAAATGCTGAATTAATAAGAATATATGTGGACTATTTTGAATGTACTTAGGAGCATATAAAAAGCAGTGAAGAAAGTATTTTATGTCTTTAGAAACATCTTAAAGAAACTTTCTATATAATCTGATAGTAAAAAGATAATGCTCTACATTTCTTTTGATATTTGATCATTCTTCAACTAATATTACAAAAATAAGATTTCGATAAGAAATATTTATTATAATATATGACAGTAATATTAGATCGGTTTTTCTTTTTTTTTTGTTCTCGTCTTCTCTAATGTCTAGCCATCTATACATATTAAAGGGTACAAAAGTGATGATAATAGAACAAAAAAGAAATACAAAAACAAGTTCGTGAAGTCATTATTCCATTAAATGTTTGAAATAATCCTCTTGATTATTCACATTCAATCTCATTCATTGAATCCTTTTATCAAATGTTTTTTTTTAATACTCTTCTTTGTTCAATGTATTCATGAACATGTTTACAACACAATGCAATGGTTTTCAATCACTTAAATCTTGTTTGATAAAGTCGAATAGGCAAAAACTATATTGTACCATATCCGGAGCATTATCTCAGTAAAAAACTTGATGAACTTGTTTCTGCGTTTCTTATTTGTTCTACTATCACTACTTTTTATGTACTCTAATATATATATATAGACGGCTAGACACTACAGGAGGAGGTGAGAAAAGAGTAAGAAGAAGAACATTGCAACCATCAACAATAGGATATACATCAAAGATAAAATGCGAGCTAGAATTACTGTCAAATAAAATAACTCACTGCTCTTATCAACATTTTTATTATAATAATATTACTTGAAGAATGATGAAACATCAGAGAAATGTAAGGCACTAGTTTTTACTTTCAAATTATAGAGAGAGAAAGTTTCTTTAAGATTTTTATAAGAAACTAAAGTACTATCGTCACTATTTTAAGTATGTACTAAGTATTTTTTTGCGTAGCTAATAAGATATTTGGCTTCTAGACAGAAACTAAAGATGTTATTCTCACAAATAAACTCAATACTTGAACAGTATGGTCACGTATTAGGAAACCATTGATTTTTATTCTAATTCATTTTGCTATATTTTTTTTCTAAGATGAGAACAACAATATCTAAGGCTTTTCTATAAGTTCATAATGAGTAACAAGTTTCCAACATGCAAAAATTGGTTTAATTTCCCCCCAAAAAAGAAATTCTTAACTGTGATATTATCCTGCAAACGGAACTACATTGTATTGAACTTATACTGATGAGATATTAAGTCTAAAATGAACATAAAAATTAATCTTTTCGATTATTATTACTCAGGCAAAATTGAATATATCTCAATACAAATTTAGTTCTTCATGTAATATGTACATCTCTTATTCAGCAAACATATTTCAATATATCAATAGACTTCATCAGACTTTTTTTTTTTATTTAATTATATTTTATCCACATGCTATCGATTTGTTTCGATCATCCTTACATACTTGATAAGATTCGATAATGATACGAGTTTAATTAATACAATCAAAATTCTAAATACAAATTAGATAATAAATATTTAAAAAATTTATGTAAATATTTCATTCTTTATTAGAGATGATCTCATAAGATTCAATTACGATATATACATGATAAATTACAATAAAATTAACCTCAGTTTACAATTTAAATTAATTATTCGAAATATCATTGTGTTCTCCTTTGTAAAAACAAAATATAATACAACTTTTTTTTTTTTTTTTTTTGTTTATACAACATAACGAATTTAAACGATAATTATTGATAATTAAATTATCTACTGTATAGTTTGCGTTCTTTTTTGAGTAAGACAATACCGAATAATATATACTAGAACACCAAATATAATGAATAAACCCGAAAGACTGATAGTACCAATCCATACATATCGTGATGTATGTCCACCACAACGAGCTTTATAAACAGAGCAAAATCTTGTTGATTGAGGTGATTCAATTGTTAAAGTATAATCCCATGCATCATGAATAGAGTCTATAGTAAGATCAATATCACAATTATGACAATTGATTGTTTTATTTAAATAATGTTTGCCTGGCTCAATATCTGTATTATAACTAAGATATGTTTTTATTGGATGTTGACATTCCTTTGATGTTGATATATTAAAATGAATATAATCATCTGTACAAGTTGAACCAATAATGCATATTTGACATTCAGTACTTTGACCGGACGAAAAATATAAGAAAAGTAAGAAAGTCTTTATCATCATTATAAACATATTACATAAATGTATCGTGACTCAGGTTATTTAAAAAGTTGTTTTTTTCTCTTCTTCTTATCTTAATATTAGAAAAACATTTGTTATATTCTATGTTAGTCTGTCCTCATAATTGATCAAAACTTTTTTTGTATAGTTATCATCAATTATTTTTTATTAAATAAATACAATTTTTAATATGAAATAAACTTGAATGTTTTGTAATAAGATAATATAATAGTGGAAAATAATATTCTTTTAATCTGTTGATTTTCATATTTTGTTGAGTAAAAAACGACAATATTTTTATCAGATTTTTAATAGATAAGACTGTCAATGTACTTCAAATAAAGTATCTTAAGAGATATCTTATACAAAAACACCCTTCCATATAAGTTTAAAATCTAGATGAGATTGAGATTGTATTTTGAAACTTTGAAATACAAGGAATGCATCAATAATATATTTGTTAAGTAAATGATCTGTAGAAATATCATTAACATATATATATATATATTAGAAAACTTGTTTATTGATAGTTTGACTAAGGTCTTTTTTTAGTACAATTCTCATGAGAATATACAAAGATAGTTACACTAGTTATATTTAATAAACTAATTACTACATATTTTTTTTTCTTTTGAATTCAATATATAGCTCGACGATTTATTTTATAATGGAAAAATTGAACGATTACTCCAATTGTAATAATTAGTAACCAGTTTGCTTTTTATTCAATTGATATGAGTAGAGATTCAGAAAAAAAATATTTATTTGAGCTTTTATTAATCAGTACCGCAATAATAGTAATAATTATTTGTTATTTACATCGAAAAACACAATAAACATGAAATATTATGTCATATTGTAGATTTTTTTACATCAAATTTATCAATATAAAATTGCATTTTAACCTTTCATACGTCTGTCTCGTTCGAAAAATTTAATGCGGAAAAGAACTAAACGTCTATAATTAGAAAATTTGTCATAGTTTGTGATTATTTCTTATTTGTTTCATAATAAGGAACACAGATAAATAAGATTCAAGTCAATAAACAAATGACATAGAAATCCAATTATCTTATGCTCATAAATTCTGAAACTTGAATACAACAACAAACATTAATCAGTTTATGATTCATACAATCAATAATAATAGATCAGTCAACAAACTTGAAATGTACACAATGAGAATCTCTTACTTTACTTTATTAGTAAATATAAAAGAGAAAAATATAGAATACTGATTACATTTTTTGTGTAAATTCTAGTACAAATGAACTATATTATATTGTTATTTAGAAACTTTTATTTTTATATATTGCTTGAAGAAACGTATTTCAAATTCAACTGAATTCACATGTCAATTGTTACATTTACACATAAATGATAGTAACAAGAAAAACATTTATTCGAAAAGTTCTTCGACAAACTAAACGATTGTTTTCGCTTTTGTCTCACAATTCGCATAGAATCAATAGATTCATTCATATATTGCTTTGAAATTAGATGTTTATGTAATACTTTATATAGTTCATTGAAAATTACAAATATATTTGACTTTTAATTTATTCAATAATATAGAACTATATTATCTTTATCCTTTCGAATGTAATCTTCTCCTGTTCTTTCACTTCATTAAAATTTTATTAAGTCAAATATCCTATTTCAAATAAATAAATACATTCATATATTCTTCATTTCTAACTCTTGACATTTTTTTTTTTTTTATTTAAACATACAATATCATAGAAAGAAAAAAAATCTTTTTTTTAATAAATATCCACAATAAAAACAACAAATCATACAATAAAATACATGCTATTTTATACAAAAAAAAAAAATCTGCAAGTATAATTATATAGTTGAATAGAAGATGACTAAAATGTTGCAATCAACAGTTAAAACAACTGCTCGATTAAAAAGAATAAGACTAAAGATAATTCCTGATGAAAAAAATGTCTCATCTAGAAAAGGAACTATTTTCTATGAAGAATAGTTTAAAAAGTATGTGTATTAGCTTATCGCTAAATAATAAATGCATATATTATAATAGTCGTTGATTTCTATTCATAAAAAATAAGACTAAGAAGAAAAGAAAATAAATTTAGAATCATTGTTGAAAAGATGAATATGAACGTATTATTGATTCATCAGAAATTGATATTGAATTAGCTCCAGAAAAATTCGCATAACCAAAATTCTATTAAAGAATATATTTGATTTTTGTATATTGAATAAGAAATAAAATGACTTACAGAAATATTCCATGTTGGTGCAAAAAGTTGTGGACCAGTAGTTGTAAGAATTTGAGAAAGAAGTTCGAGACTAAGACCATTTGTTATAGGTAATTGTTCATTATTATGCATTATATATGGATGAATTGATTCATAGGAGAATGATGAAGAAGGAGTTGAATTATTTGAAATAAATTCCATATTTGAAGGAATGATTTTATTTAATTTACTTTGTTTTTCAATTATAGGTGATTTACTTTTTTTATCTATTTGTTGATTATTTATTGGAAGACATGATGATTCATGAAATGTATTATTAATTGTTACAGTTTCTGAAAGTTTTTGACGTAAATTAGCATTTGTAACACGAAGTGAATCTCGACGATGTTTAAGTTCATCAAATTTCTTTTTTAAAGAAGCATTTTCAGATTTAAATTGATATAAACATGATAATAATGATGAAATATCATTTGGCATATTTTGTTGAAGAAGAAAATCACTTGTTAATTCCCATTCTTGTTCAAGAAATTCTTCTAAAGTTTGAGGTGGAAATGAATGTTCGGAAGTTTTTAATGTTATTGAAGAATTATTTAATGATTGTTGAGAATCAATATTCATCTTTGCTTGATCATTATTAGTTTGAGATTCTATAGGTTTTAGATTTTGTTCTTTACATGTTGAATGATTACTATGCTTTAATTGAGATAAATGAAGTTTTTTTGATGGAGGACGACCAACTGGTCTTGGACTATCTTCAGTTGAATAATAACGTTTTTTATGTAATTGTACATTTTTATCGATTATTTGAGAATCAATATCATTCATTTCAATTCTAAAAGGAAAATTTTAAGGTTTGTTTTTCTTTTCTTTTTTTTATTCAAATAGAAAAAGTTTTATATTTACTTGATTTTTGGAGTAAAAATTTCTTTCGATGAAAGATTATTATTAATATTAGAAGAAATATTTGTACATATAGATGTTAATGATTGCTGATCATTATTGCCATTGGAAGATTTTAAATTAACAGTTGCTAAGTTTCTGTTGAATTATAAAACAAAAATATTTTCAGAAACAATGATGAATTTGTATTATTTTAATTATATACTATCAATTTTTCTTGTAGTTATATCTCGGAACAAAGAGTTATATTTCATGTTGTACGGAATTGAATACATCTCTGTTTGATTTCTTAATAAGCACAATTCAAGTTTATATCAAAAGAAAAATAACCTTGCAATCGCTTTTGAGTGCCACCTGTTGTTTCTTTAATATAACTTTTAATAACTCAAACACTACATACAAAAATTATATCAATAACTATCTATTCGAAATGACATTGAATAGTTATGAAGAATAATATTTAAGTACAAACCTAGTATCTATTGTTGATTGATTTTGACTTGATAACAAATGACAAGTTCGTTCTTGTTTATTTAATTCAACACTATGTGAATGATTAATTTCTGAAGAAGAAACTTGTGATGAATTTTGACTAGATTCATTATTCATTTTTTCTTGTCTGTCCAATAATAATGAATCACTTGTTTGACTAATAGTAGTATTAACAAAATCAGATAGCTCCGATGGATTTTCTATTTCTCTTGAATTCTATATCATCAAATAAGAAATAAAATAAAATAAAATAAAATACAAAAATATAAAATTTAATTTACATGATTTCGTTCTGATAATTGATATTGAAATGCAGGTACTTGTCTAATAAATTTCTAATTTAAAAAAAAAGTAAATATTTATTTAATAGAATATTCATAATTCTTTTTTTTTTTTACAGAAAATTTCGGTTGATGATATTCACAATAAATTGGATATTGACAATTATTTTTTCTAACATCTTCAAATAATAATCCAGCTTGTTGTGCACATGTTACATGAAATAATTGTGAACAATTTTTAACTCTACATTCACAACATGCACCTTTAATTGCATAGGATTCTGAACGTCCATTCTTAATACAAATTGAACATGTTTGTCCATAACGTATTGATGGAATTTTTGAAAGTATAATTGGTTCCATTGTTTCATCATTACCAAAGGATACTTCAGGTATATAAAGTGCACATATAACATGTGCCCAATTACCATCGGATGTTTGTTTCATTGCACCTTCGATTAATGGACATAAATGACATGGCTTAAAAGAAAAAAGAGAAGATTTTAAATAAGAATAAAATAAAAATTTCATACTGCATGAATTGCTCCAACTTCACATCGACGACAATACCAATCACCATCAGGAATTGATACAATTCCATAACAAGCTATTTAACAAAATTTTAAATAAATAAATTTTTGAATATTTTGTTTTTCTTGTCCTACCTGTATGACAAGCTACTGTACAACCTTTTCCATCACAATAAACTAGAGCATTATTTGAAAAACCTTGATCATCAGAACAAACACAACATCCACCAACTAATTCTTCATGATTTGTCATCGTTTTATGGTTAGTATTTTCATATTTACAATTAAGATTATTTTTCGAATCATTATTATCGTTGTTAATCGATACTATTGTTTTAAAATATTCAATCAAATACACATAGCAAAAAAAAAAGTATAGAACGGAGACACTCAGCTGCTCTTTTTTTCATGATTCATCATTTTAGAGGACAAATAATATTTTATGAATGGTTGATTCAATACAGATGGTAAAATATGGTCATAAAACTGAATGGATATCTCATCGATCAAATTTTTGTGTTTATTTCTTGTTTTGAGTTTTTCTAAATGGGAATTTATTATAGTTTAACATCAATATTTTCATCAACAACAGATACAAATCATATAAATATACAATCAAATTCTAAATCTAAAAAAAGAAGACGTCGACGTTATAAACAAAATCATTTATTAAATCGATTTTTTTTGGGTTCAAAATATTTTTTTATTAATACACAACCACATACATGTCTTTTTAATGAATATTATTATTTTAATTCAAAAAAAGATGTAATCAATCCTGTACATTTACAGGTTTCATTACCTGAACCAAATCAATCAATGACTACACGACCAGTTCACTGTACTATAGCAATACGAAGAGATTCACTTAAATTAATTCATTGTTACGATGATTATTATTCGATTGATTTTACTTTCGATGCCGATCGTCCTGTGCAAATTCACAGTATGTTTTGTTTTGTTTTGTTTTTTTTTTTGTTATTCATTTCTTCTTTGTTTTTCTTTAAGTCTATTTTATGGCACATGAAGTATACACAAATAATAATGGTTCAATATCTTATGTTTCATGTAAAAAATCAAGTCATTTACATACATTTAAACAATATTATGTATTTAATCGACCTGCTGGTCATGGACAAATATTTTCATCAATACCAAATGATATTCATTTACCATTATCAGTATTGAATGAAAATCATCATAATTGTACAATAAAAAATCGTGTTTATCCAATAGTTATTGTTTGCCGAGAAATAAATTCTCTAACTAAGTAAGAAATATTCCTTTGAAATAATTCATTTGGTGTTCTTTTTTATGTTTTCTTTTCTTTTCATAGAAGTCCATCAACAATTTGTGGTACAACATTAACTGAACATACAACAGCTGCTTTAGCATCATTTCCAACATTTGATCAATTTCATATTGTATTAGCAACAATAAAACTTCTTCGATTAAATGATACAATATCAACCATAACGCCTGATCGTGTAACAATTGTTTTACTTAATCAAAAACATGTTTATAATGGTATTGTTTTTAAATTATTTGAAATTTATAGTATTGAAAATCATCCATTAAAATTATCAAAAAATAATAATAATGATAAACGAAAAATTTCAAAAGGAAATAAATCATTAATGAAAGTTGTTACAACATCAACGATTAATGAAAATAAACCATTTTTAAATCGGTACAAAAAAAAAAATACTTTTTTAATTTATATTTATTTGATTTATTTTGTTATTTATTTGTTTTAGTACAAATGATATTGATGTACTTAAAAAATCTTCATCAGATTTTGATTTAGTATTAAATAATACAAATGAAAGTACTTGTGTTATTTGTTTAACTGATAAACGTAATGTTTTATTACTACCATGTCGACATTTATGTTTATGTGGACCATGTGCTGAAAACTTGAAATTTCAATCAGCTAATTGTCCGATATGTCGTATACCATTTCGTGCTTTATTACAAATGAATGCATTACGTTATCGTAAACATTATTTATTTAATCATCAATATAGTGATGATGAAGATGACTTAATACATGAAAATATTTCATTGATTGATGCACTTAATTTAGCAACATCAACAACAAAACAAATTAATAAAACTAACTGTAATATTCAACAGAATATAACAACAAATGATATTAAGTATTTTTGCAGTGAACATACAGTTTAATATCTGTGATATTCCGTATATCATTGTTAGAGGTAGATTTATTTTTTTAGAAATTGCATGTTGAATTGGTTTTCCTTTTTTTTTTTCTTTTCTTTTTGTAAAAATTGAAATTCTATTTATTATTATTAAAATTAAAATCAAGTATATTAATAGAAATAAAATTCTTTTCTTTGTTTTTTTTTTGTTTTCTAGAAATAAAGTTCCTATAGAGAGATCAACATAAAATCTATTCGTTTGGAAATATAGCCGGAAAATATGGAAGTTTGTTAGAAAATAACATGATCAGTATTTTTTTTTAGATCATATGTAATTAATATTTTTCTAATAGTTTCGTTACATTAAGAATATTGAAGATCATTTATTTTTGTAATCTCTATACTAATTCGTCAGCATTATTTGACACGTGTTTATAAGGTACTGTGTACAAATTTTAGTACTGTCAGTGTTATGACCTGCATAATCATAAGGATTTATTCTTCTTATCTGTAAAATTATTCATATGCACTTTTGTTCTTCTTCTTGTCTCTTGTTGTTGGTCATGCGTCATGGATTTTTCCTTTCTGTCATATATATAGGACTTTGTTCTTTCTTTCATATTGTTCTATGGGTTTCTCACCGATGATTTTTTCCCACGTTATTATCATATATGCATTCATTGGACTGTTACGAAGAGATTGGAGATAAAAATAAATATAGAAATAAAATAAAAATGCGATTAAGATCTTACACAATCAGCGATAGAATAATCCGGGACCAATGACTAATGGCTATTTGTCTTGGATTATTCATCCGATAACATGCTGACAACGTTGTGACATATATACCTGCTCTTGTGGTTGTGTATAGGAAATGCAAGAACTCTGCATCAGGCTGGCTTTCTGCTCAGAGCTACAGGTAGTATTAGTTATGGAAAAAATGTCAGTCTATCGAATCTACTGCTAAGTAGTATCTCATACCACAAGGTAGGGGTATTCTTTATTTCCATCTCTATTATGAATTTTTGTTTTTAATAATTAGAATAAATTTTATGCTGTTCTAGATTCTATTATTGAATAATTTATCTTTAACCCGATATAACAGTTTTACTGATACATGATTCCGTTATTAATATATAAATAACTTAAGTATAATAATTCTAGTAAGTACATGTACTGAATATATATAGTTAAATAATGCATGAAAAGAATTTTAAGTGAAGAATAGAAGTTCATCACATCGAATCTGTTAATGTAAAAAATGCTCTCAATTATTCTACGTTTAAGTTTCAAAAAATAAATTTTCGGAAAAATGAAAAAAAAAATATTGAATACTTTGAATTAATTTGAAATGATTAAGCATGCGTCATAACTTCATTTGACGTCATTTTTCTGAGCATTTATTCTTTTGATATTTTTAGCTCAGAGTAAAATAAAATAGATCCAAAATTCCAAGATCTATGAAATAATAAGAATGATTTTATTCTTTAATACTGTTTCGTTAAAAGAATAGGTCTTATTTATTTATATTATACTAAATTCACCATATGGGCATTCTCAAATGAGTCATCTGTAATGTTAGATAATAATATGAATATTATTTTATTTTTTAATCACATGATTTCCAAATAATTTCTCTCTATTTTTCATAGTTAGAAGGGTTAAACGATTTGTGACTTCATTTATCATTTGTGCATGATCAGATTTCTCATGCAAATAAGCTCACGTATTATTATAAGAATAATCGAGAAATTTCTTTTGAAATTGTTTTGATGAAATCAATACGATAAATAAGTTATAATAAAAATAATATATATTTTTTTCTCTACATCTAATTTTGTCTAATAAGAACGAACACAAAAAAAAAATATCATATTTTGTTGATTCATATGTAGGTGTAATCATCTCCGATTTCGTCATTTGTCGTTAGCTGATTAGTCACAATAATTCTACCCTATTTGTTATTATAAGATCAAATATACGAATGTGATAATGATGTCAACTATTATTATTTGATAGATAGATAGAATCCAAAACGTAATATTAATAATGATTCTATAGAAAGTAATTCGATGATATTTCAGACACTACTATCATCTAATTAATTCAATAAGCTAATATGTGTTTATATACGCCTGTCGTGTAATTTTATAGAATTTCTTTAACTAATGACTCTATCTATTTAGTAAGATCATTAGTAGAGATTTTTCTTTCTTCTTTCGGCAATTTTATTCATCCTCATAAGTACAATGGAAGAGAATTATTAACTCAGAAATGTATAGACGAACAAAAAAAAAAAAATCTAGAGAATAATCCTAGAAATCTTCCATAATAACACAACTGCCGTTTCCTGTTTACAAAAAAAAGGATGGATTCGATTAAGCTTATTTTTTCTTCTTTTTTTTTCTACTACTACTACTACTAGCACTTTCATTCTGCTTTTTTTTTATGGGGGCTTCATCAATGACAGGGTCTGCTATGCGATAAAAGAAAATGCATTTTTCCAGATTGACTTTTTTGTCTTGTTAACGTTAATGAGTCTCATTTCATGACGACGAACAAGGACAACAAGACACTTGGTAAAGTCTACGATCATTAATTAGACGTAATGCTTTGCTTCCATAAATTGACATATTTGATGTATTATTTTTTTTCACTCGTCTGTCTCAGGTATGTGTATATGTAAATGAAAAAAAAATACATTGGTCTGATGACGTAACCCATGCATCTTTCACATCAACTACATTGTAATCATCTGTTATTTTTTCACAGATTGAATAAATGTACAAAATAATCAAACCTTTACATAGACAAAAAAGATTTGTTTCCTTACATGATTTTGTTAAATTTTTATACTATTATTATTGTTATATGATTAAGAGAACAAACATATTTGTCAACAGACAGTGTGTGTGTAAGAGAAAAAAAGTTCCATTTGTCTCTCATGCTCTCTTAACAGCATGTTACTGTGTACCTTTGCATTTGTCGACGCAACAATATACCATTTTCTCGCTTTTGCTTTTACTTCTTGAGTTGTCCCGTTGGGGTGCAATGCATAATATGTATAAAGAAGAAGGAAAAAAAAAGCATGAATATTATGGCGATATACATCGTGTGCTCGTTATTATTATGTATATAGAAAAAAAAAACACGAAACTTGACATTTAATCGAATTTTATATAATCAAGGTTAAGAACTTCTTGTTCAAATTTGAGCAAGATAAGAATAAAAGAATACAAGATGTTTCTTTCTTTTTTTTTGTTCTTTGAAAAATAAAAAAAAACAAAACAAACACCTACGTTTTATGAATGTGTTTCTTTCGCTTTGTTTTTTTTTCTCAAACATTATTTTCTATTTTTAGATTTTTATTTTGTTTTGTTTCATTTCGTTGTTCTGTCCTTCCTATACCGCTTTTTTTTCTTCAATCGTATCAAAGTATGACAAATAAACGATAGCAACATTGATGATTTGTACATAGTCACATCCTTGTGTGTGTGTATGAGTAAGTACGAATGAATAATATTTGACAATATCTCTTATTGTTTTTATTTATAAAAGAACGCACGTGTTTGAAAGAGAAAAAAAATTATGGAGGTGAGTTCGAGAATAGCAAAAACATTTAAAAGATTTACAATACCCCGAAGTACTTCATCTATTGGTGCGTTTACAACATCAAATGGTACAGCAACAAATATAGAACAAAATACAGAAGAAATAACACCACCATCATCATCATCACATCATAAACATCCTCCACTTTCTTATACTCAACATATTCGATCAATACAACAACATCATTCACAAGAAAATTTAAATACATCAAATCTTTCACAACAAAAAAATCCTTATTTATCTACTCGACCAGTAAGTGGTGATATATCATCATTTATGATGAATTCATCATCAACAGATATAAATTCATCAACAAATGAAAATACAACAAAAAAAAGCAAAGTAAATTGAAAACTAATCTGATTTATTTCTTCAAATATTTTGAAATGTTTGTTTTTTTTGTTTTTTCAGATGAATAAAGCTAATAAAAAATCTTCAAATATACGTGATATTAATTTTAAACATATAAACGATGTACCTCTTGATAATAATTGTGATACAACAATAAAAACAAATGAAAAACAACGTTCATCAATTAAATCTTTATTAACAAAAAAATTTCAACCATTAGCAGTATCATCATCTATTAATATAAATGCTAAACCAAAAAAACCACGTAATTCATTTCGACAATTTTCTCATTTTCTTAAACGAAGTCATAGTACAAATACAGATCTATCAACAATAGCAAAACCAAATAATCAACATAATTCATTTAATGGTGATTTTATTCATTCACATTTACAAACTAAAATTGCCAATCCATCTGATGCAACATATACAACAAATATAAGCGCAAGTCTTACATGTAATACTAATAATACAACATTAGTACCAATATGTGAAGAAGAAAATTCACTTCCAATACAACAACAAAATAGATTAAAATTAACATCTGATAATAGTGATCAAATGAGTTCAAATCAATCGGATACTGGAACATTAACACATGAATTTATACAAAAGCCTGTATCTAGCCTGAGTAAGAATTTATCCTTCATGACGATGTCATTGTTTATAAGTGTCTAAGTCTATCGTATCATTTACAAACTATAGTAGAGATATCTGTCTGTCATTCAACTGTCTATTTTTTTACATAATGAAACACTTTATAGCTGATAGATCTTCTATTATTAGAAGATATAGACAGAGACACGCAAACATGTACTTAAACATAAATAGTTTTGAACTTAAACTCAATTTTCAAAGTACTATTAATAAAAAAAAAGAATTTATTAAATCAAAATCTTGACTAAATTTGATGAAAACTATGCAAAACTTAAGATTAAGATTAAATTTCAAATACGTCACTAAAATATAGATTAGATCTTGCTATGTAATCTAGAAAACATATGTTTTTTCTTTTTTATTCTCATAAAACAGATGCATCATTATCGTCACTTTCGGGTGCTTCATCAACATCAAATAAATATAAAAATGATAATAATCACCTTCAACAACAAGAGGACTCAATAATAGCATCGAAATCATCATCATTATCCGTTACATCAAGTACTGATAAAGCACTTTCTGTTGTTACTAATTATAATAGTAATAATAAACAATATGTGACTAATTCGATTAGTTTACATGAAGATGTTAATTATTTAACAAATAATCATCATTTATCTACATCAAATACAAATAATAATAATAATAATAATAACAAAGGTTTGTTATTAAAAATAAATATAGACGACACTGTCGTTTATATATATATATATATATTTTTTTTCTTTTTTTTTGCTATTATATTAGAACGAACAGCTATTCATCAGACAATGTCATTGAAAGTCGATGGTGAAAATACAAATATAAATCAACAAATAACAAAAGTTAAAATGCGTGATCATAGTGCTAAAAAGAAAAAAGGTTTACGTGAACTTAAATCACGTATATCATTACCACCTGAATTAAAAAGTGGTTATATACAACCTACAAATAATAATAATAATAAAAATAATAATAATAATAATGATAATACTATTAATTATGAAGCAACTGGATCAAATAATATTCGCTTAAAATTAGCACAAAGTTCATCATATTATCAAACAACTTCATCATCAATTCACACACTTAATGATGTTTTAAATCAATCAAATATATCATCATCATCACGTTTATCACCACAATTTACTTTAAATACAGGTGGACCATTAAGTCGAAATGAACATCGACTTTCAATGCTTGATCTTGGTTTTGGTAAAATTGAATCTTATGTCAAATTAGAAAAATTAGGAGAAGGTAAATATAATAATAATAATAATAATAATAATAAATTATTAAAAATTATATTATTTGTTATGTAAAATAGGTACTTATGCAACAGTTTATAAAGGAACATCGAGTTTGCTTAGTGGTTATATTGCATTGAAAGAAATTCGACTTGAACAAGAAGAAGGTATGATTAAATATTTATCTATATTGGTCGATTGACGCTTTGAAGGTTATTTTTTTTTCAACAAAAATATAAGATGACAAGGTTATTTCCGTTTGTCATATATGAGTAGGAATACATCAAATACATCGGAAATGAATTTATTTAAATAATAATTAGATATTCAAAGATCGGATTGCTTGTTTTTAATGAATAATTAATAGACAATAAATAAAAGAGTTTAAGCAATAAAAATAGATCAAGTTTTAAGTTTTCTTTTGTCTTCATTGACGAATTGTTATTTTTTAATATTAATTCTATAAACTTTATATAATAAATTTACAAATTGTTGGATATCCAAATCGAATTATGAAATTAAAATAGAAGTTGTTACGGGTTATTATATTAGATAAAAATTATTGAATTTAAAAGTATTATTAATAGAAATATAAAAATAAGATATTTAAGTAAATAGACTTTCATTGTAATCAAAAATTTTTAAAATCTTATTAGCACTGCAATAAGTTTAAGATTAGTAATTAACAATACAAAATCTTACTAGAAACTATATTTCTTTGATTTACAATAAAATTGTTCATGTCAACAACTCAGTTGTAAATATTCTCAATCTTAGTTATTTTGTTTTTTTGTTTAACTAATAATATATAACTTTCATATTTAATATTATAGGTGCACCATGCACAGCATTACGTGAAGTAAGCTTATTAAAAGGTCTTAAACATAATAATATTGTTAGTTTATATGATATTATATTTGATAAAACAACATTAACACTTGTATTTGAATATGTTGAAAAAGATTTAAAACAATATATGGATGATTGTGGAAATCTTCTTCATATGAAAAACGTTTGTTTATTTTTATTTCAACTTTTACGTGGTCTTGAATATTGTCATGCAAGAAAAATTCTTCATCGTGATTTAAAGTAATAATAAATTACTTTCTTTTTCTTTTTCTCTTAAATTCTCATATTTTAGACCACAAAATTTATTAATTAATGAACGTGGTGAATTAAAATTAGCTGATTTTGGTCTTGCACGTATTAAATCATTTCCAACAAAAACGTATTCAAATGAAGTTGTTACATTATGGTATAGACCACCAGATGTTCTACTTGGTAGTACAGAATATTCAACACCAATTGATATATGGGCTGTTGGTTGTATTTTTTATGAAATGGCATGTGGTCGACCATTATTTGCTGGTGCAAAAGTTGAAGAAGAATTACATTTAATATTTAAATATCTTGGTACACCAACTGAACGTACATTACCCGGTGTGACATCAAATATTGATTTTCAAGCATTAAGATTACCATTTTATTATGGTGAACCATTATCTCGTGTGATATCACGACTTGATCAAAATGGTATTGATTTATTAGAAAAATTTTTACGTTATAATCCTAATTCTCGAATATCGGCACGTGATGCAATGACGCATAAATTTTTTTCATGTTATCCACCAGAAATACATACATTAGGACCATTACAATCAATATTAGATTTAGATGAAATATCATTAACAAAAGATCATGGTTCTAAACTTATTTCATCATCGCTTATGAAAACGACTATTTCAAAACGATCGAGTGTTCATCTGTGATGTGTTTGTTTTTTTTCTTCTTTTCTTGCTTGTCGAACCTCATTTTTATATATATGTACACACTATTTGTACATTGTTTTATCATCTAAATTCTTCATTTCTTTTTTTCTTGCGATTTTGTTATTTCTTTTGTTTTTTTTGAGTCATTCATATATAGGATCCATAGGCGTATGAAATATTTATCTATATACGAAAAAATAACATTTATCGTTAAATAACAGTACAATCAGAGAACGTGTGAAACAATACAAATAACTCCAAACAAAAAATTAAACAACTATCATTCTACCAATAGATATTAGATATTTGCTTTTTTTTTGTGTCCTGTTATTTTAACACCATGTCGTTCCTGTTATGACAAGATTTATACTACTTTTGTTGATGTTTATTATATGTGCAGATGTATTAAATTGTGTTATTTAATAGCTAAGCTTTTCTGAAAAGTTTTTACACATACAAAATACAGTTTTTTTCTTTTTTTATAATATACTCTCATGATCTTACGTTCATATTTATAAACGAACAAATACTCTTTTAGATTATTTAATAAATGGAACTTGAAAATTCATCATCACTTCCACATGTATAGTTTTGCTTTATCGAGTCGATATTTAAATTGAAAAAAATTTTTCTTGATTAGGCTCATCAACAAATTCGTTTAGGAGATATTCAAGCATCTATACATAAATGGTCAAAAGCAATTGAATATTATTTACATGGAATAGGTCAATGAAAAATTTTGATTCTTTTAAATTGACTCTTCTTTATTTATAGAATATTTTAAAGCGGTTCAAAATAATCTAAATGACGATAATTTGAAATCAATTATCGAAGCACAAATAATACAATGTGAAAAAACAATTCATTTATGTCTTTTAAAAGATCGATCAGAACAGGTAAATATCTAAGAAAAATCAAATGATTGACCTACTCAAGAAAATCAATACAGCAATAAAATTTTATCATCTGTGGAAATATTGACGCCGATAGAGTGACGAAGTCATATTCGGAACCTCGATTTTGGTATATAATCAAATCCAAATGTCACTATTCGATCGAGTTCTATAATAGCATACCATTGGCACGTAATAGCAGGGTTGTAATCAATCGAGAATTTTTGAACTAGTCTGGCCAGCCGGTTTGTTGGATCATTATTAATAGGTTAATGAGAATAACTTAAAAAAACATTCACTTTTCTTTTCGCACTCAAGTTTTTACAAATCTCCAAGAAGAAATATCATGTTATAGTCGTTTACATCTGTTTGATTTCTCAAAAATGAATATGTGATATTTCTAAATATAGCGCAAAAAAAAAGAGCCATTTACTCATCAACGAATTGTTAAATTCCAAATCTCGAATTTTTTCACTCAGCCATTTCCGACAAAATTAACGTTTCTCTTCGAATGATGATGATCCAAACCTAAATTTGGTCTGCATCAAAACACATATGATATAAGTTTAGCTCAAGTAACACAGTTTTGATTGTGTTTTTTACAAACTGATAAAACAGTATGAACAAACAGGAGCATGGCTGCTTGCTTTCAGAATTACAAGTGGAACAAATATCGTGACAGATGGCGCCACCTTCTCTGTGTTAGTTTGTTTTCTTTGCGTATCTTAACTAGAGTAGATCTTTTTCAGTTGAACATTTGATTGCCCGCTTATCTTGTTTATGACTATTTATCCTAAAATTCTCAGTTGAATCTGACTGTGCGTTCGGAAGATAGAACATTTCTTGTTCCTCTTTTTTGAATAATGACTTTTATTTGTTTTATCCATGAGTATTTATAAGATTTCTTCGCTCTCGTTTGATTTGATGTAGAAGACAAAAATCAAAATTGAAAAATCGTTATAGTATTTTTTATTAAACAAATAAATGAAAAAGCATACAATGAAAACAATCAAAATTTAATGAACCTTCGAAAAAAGATACTGATTCAAGTCTCATGATGATATTTTAGAAAAAAGAAATGAACGAAATAAAGCGTTTCCACATCCAAATAAAAAAAGACTCAAAAACTGAATTTGATACAACAAAAGAATTCTATTCTGTAGAGTGTAAAGAAAAATATTTTCTCTTTTTTCTTCGAGAATACATTTTGTGTTATGTATTGATAACAGACCCAGATCGACAATTACGGACTTCATATACGCTCTCTATACGACCGTAAACGGTCGTATTTTGACGGTTTACATGGTCCAGTATTATGGTCGTGTATCACCGTGACCGTATACGAAGAAGTACGATCGCATACGAAGAAATACGGAGCAAAATGGAGACCGTATACGGACTGCATATACGAATATCATAAACAACCGTTTCTTTCTCCGTATACAGTCGTTTACGACCGTGCTTGTTTGATCTGAGGAGCAGTCATCAAAAGGATTGATCTGTCTCATCGTTTGAAAACAAAGTCAGATTCCATTGAAAATTTTAGAGTGAATAATCATAAGCAAGATAAACTGACAATCAAATGTACAAGTGAAAAAAATATATCGTAGTTGAAATACGAAAAGAAATAACCGAATACAGAGAAAATGGCCGCATCTACCATAATACTTGTTCTCCTCGTATAACTGAGATCTGTCTATACTGAAAATTTTAGGATATTTGCTTTTTTTCTTTAGGAAGATATAGCTCATCAAAGGACGAAAAAGGGAAATTCCATAACGTTTGGACGCATAAAAAAAAAATAACTTTGATACAATTTTTTCAATATTTTTATCAATCTAATATTTTCTTTGAGTTGGTGCAAATTGAGTGTAATTTTAATTCGATGATAACTTATGTGCTACTCTTCAAGTGCAAACATTCAGTATCCATCTATCTTAAATTACGGTCAACATATAATCGACACTTGTGAAACACCCTTTATCAGCCATCTGCTCATAGCTTATAGCAGATTCTTACACTGATTAACTAATGATGCCGAGAGCCTAAAAATTACCATGAAGATTTCAAAAACTTGATTAAAAGAATTAAGAAGTGAATAATCCATCGGAATTTTATAGATTTCTACAAAAAAACCTCCTCAAATGCCTGTCAGATCTAAAACATTCCTGTCGAATACTTATTCCGTGTTCCATATCAAATTCATTTACTTGAGTATTTTATTTTGTCTAGGCAATAAAACTTCAACAAGCAGAACGTATATCAAAAATGACTCGTGCACATTCAACATCAAATTTAAAATCTTCAACAAAATCAAATAGCATGAGACCAAGACATAATACATTACAATTAGAAAATACAGTCATGTTAGGTGGTCAAGGTGGTATGGATTCATTTGCTGCATTTATTTTTCCAAAAAATCATAATACTGATGAAACAAGTCCAACACAAACACCAATAAATGCAAAGAAAAATAAAAAAAAGGATTCACATAAATTAGAAGAATTACAAATGAGTTATGCAGCATTAAAAACTCATCTTAAAGAAGCATTTGATGATATTGAACGACTTAAATATGAAAATAATCAATTACGTTTACACCGAGAAATAAATATAATACGAGAACAAAATGAATCAAAATTATTTACAAATAGTGATGAAGAAAACTCCGAGAATGAACTTGAACAGACATTATAATTTTTATATTTATTTATTGCTGTTGCTGTTGTTGTTGTTGTTGTTGTTGTGATTTTTTATATCTTGAATGTATAAAATCAATAAATTCTATTTTTATCCTTGTATCCCTGTAATATAAAAACAATATATTGCTAATCAAAATATATATTTTTACTGTATTACCAAAATAAAAAAATATTATCAAATCACAAAACCTTATGTTAATATTCGCACATTTAATAACAATCACAGATCTTCTATTTTCTCATAACATATATCTTTTACTATAAAAGACGGAATACAAAATCTAAATGATAGTGAGCTAATAGGAGAAGATATATCAAAATGTCTAAAATAATTATTGGTGTTATTTTATTAGCTATAACAATTGTTATTTTTGCTCAAATAGACAACAAATGTCTTCAATGCATTTGTAAAACTGAATCTGGCTGTCGACCACTTGGATGTGCATGGGATGTTAATTCAAATTCATGTGGTTATTATCAATTAAAAAATGTCTATTGGATTGATTGTGGTAAACCAGGTGGCTCACTTGCTGCATGTTCAAAAGATAAAGCTTGTTCTGAAAAATGTGTTCGCGCATATATGCAACGTTATGCTACAAAATGTACTGATGGTCGTAAGCCAACTTGTCAAGATTATGCTCGTGTACATAATGGTGGACCAAGTGGTTGTAAAAAATCAGCTACAGTTGGTTATTGGAATAAAATTGCTGCTTGTTATAATTCTGGTTAAGATCTTTTTTTGTTTTATTGAAAATATAAAATAAAATGTAATCGAAATCATCTATTAAGATTATGTCATGTAATTTGAAGAAAAAAAAAACATTTAATACTTTTTTTTCCTATAATTTTTTTAGAAAATTTAAATTCAATGTCAAACTAATATTATCATAAGATAAAATATATTAAAGTATCCATTCAAAGATTCATATTGAATATAATGTAGATATGGAATTGCATATAGCTAGTAAAGTTACAAAGAACTTTATATTGTGTTTTATTATCGTTGAATATTTTGAAAAACGTAAACATTTTTTCTTCACCCGAAAAAATTCTCTCGTCTAAAACAAGAATTGTTTGAGAAGAATATTTTTATCACAAACGTTATTCTCTACATTTAAAAAATATATTCAAAATCTCGATTTAAACAATGAAAATAATCGACTAGTGATATTCGCATGCTCAGATTCGAAATTAATTTTTCATGGCTTAATTCTTATCATACATACTTTTGATCAGAAAAATATAAAACGATACGCATATGAATAATACTTATTGTGTACATTGATGTGAAGGATATGAATGTGATTATGCTGGCATGATTCCTGTCTTTATTAACATCCACACCGCTTTTGTTAAGATTCCTACAAAAGATCTGCTCAGAATTTCAATATTTGAATTTAACTACAGGTCCATACTGTTCCAAGCTTGAAATATGGAATTCACATACATTCTCATACATTAAACATTGCTTCACTATCAGTAGTATATATATTAGTACGTTAATTCGATACTGTTTTCTTTGCTTGCTTCCTTCTTTGATCTTAAAATTTCAACTAATGTTGTTTCGCTATGCAAACTTCTTATTTTTGTCTGTGTAACTATGATTGATTTATATCTACTGTTATTATAACAATATACTGAATGGTCTATAATGAAGAAAGTTACAAAACTTCTACTTAAAACTTACATTCACTAATTTCTTCGAATGTGTATGTAAGTTTCACAAAAGCAATCTAATCAAAATCGTTCATTATAGTTTTACGTCGATAAAACTTTAACAACAGAAAATGAACTGCTGAGAATGGAACGTGCTAAATTGTAGAAAGTCACGTATTCGTTATTGAGATATAATTAAAATCTTTTCTCAACTTATTCTAGTCATGGATTCATCAATTTTTCTTCCGTAGTCTTCTTAAGATGAATGGATATTTTAAAATGTACACGATATCGTTCGTCTTATATTGTGGAATAAAACAAGAAGTAACTTCGTCTTGTAGTATGGAGAGAGAACTGAATAAATTATCGGCAATAATTTGCTTTTTTCTTTCGAGAATTCGTTGCGTATCGACGATATCGATCTGTGTGTGAATGATTGTAAATGATTTTTGAAATACATTTCGTAAACGAGGATAAGTCTATTGTACTTTTGCAAGTAGACTAGTTATTATCGAAGGTTTGTGTATAAAAATTAATCAAGTCTTTAATGAAAGAGTATAAAACTGCGACAAAAAAAAACATTTTATTTTTGATTTCAAGCTTTCAACAATTTACAATTGTCATCGTCAGGAAATCATTAGAAAAGAACAAAATTAAGCTATATATACCGGGTGACCCCTAAATAAGGAAACGGGCAAAAAATTAAATATCTCCATTACGGCTCGAGCAAACAGACTGATTTCTTTACTACTAATAAAGGCATGTACAAGTTTTGTATCCATAAAGACAAGCTCAGAGATACTCTTTATTAAGTATTGCTAGTGATCTCAACAAAAAAATTTTGCTTTTTTCACAGATAGGAGAAAAACCAATATACAAGGTGCTGCAAAAGTCACTTTACCGGAAAGAAAATTAAAAATATCTCCATTATGGCTCAAGCAAATGAGCTGATCTTTTCACCAATGATAGAGACATGTTCAAACTTTATATACATAAAGACATGCTCGGAGAGACCCCCTTGTTAAGTAAACTTTTTTTCTCCTATCTGTGAAAAAGTAAAAATTTTTTTGTTGAGATCACTGATGATACTCAACAAAGGATATCTCTAACCTTGTCTTTATGGATACAAAGCTTGTACATGCCTTTATTAGTAGTAAAGAAATCAGTCTGTTTGCTCGAGCCGTAATGGAGATATTTAATTTTTTGTCCGTTTCCTTATTTATGGGTCACCTGGTACATATGTATACAAAACAAGGCATAGAATAGAACAGAACATTAAAAAAAAACAGTATTACAATATCAATTTATACATCAAAGCTAACACAATTACAATCTCACTATACTTTAAATTAATAGCTTAACTTTGTTCTTTTCTAATGACTTCTCGATGATGACAATTGTAAATTGTTGAAAGCTTGAAATCGAGAGTAAAATGCTTTTTGTCGAAGTTCTATATTCTTTCATTACATACTTATTTCAACCTGCACTTCCATCCAATTATAATCAAGTCTTGATGGAATTAAGTATCGGTAGAATCATTATTAAGGTGTAGTAAAAGCTCTGTATGAATCTTTCATTTTCTTTCTTGAATTGTCATTGTTCTATTAGCACAAATTGCTATGACTCCTAGGTGTTTAAAAACAGCATGTACTCGTATTGCGTTTGTTGCACAACAATAATGAGATAGCTTGCATGTCTTCATTAGACAAATCTAGGCAACGTAACACTCACTAGATAGTAGACTAAAAAGAAGAAAAAGAAAAGACATGCATCACACAGTCTCAATATAAATCACGAGCTTATTTTTTGCTTTTCATTCTTTTTTTTTGACATAATGTCGACTGATATCATCTCTATCCTAAGCGTATTTACATTTCACATGAATCGTTATTTGACAATATTTATTCTATTGTTTGGTTCGTTTGGTAATATTATAAATTTATTCATATTTTATCAACCAAAACATCGTACAAATCCATGTGCTATCTATTTTTTCTATACATCAATTGCCGATCTAATTGCTCTTTATTCAGGTTTACTTAGTCGAGTTTTTGCTGGTTTCTCGCTTGATAGATCGGCAACAGATGCTTCAATTTGTAAAATACGTGCATTTATTATTTGGGTATCAACAACAGCTTCATCCTGGTTTTTAACTTATGCTACTGTCGATCGATATTGTATAAGTTGTCGTGATGCACGTCATCGTAATCTGAGTAATCTTCGTTTTACACGTAAATTAATGTTCATTACGATTATCGGTGGATCATTGATATTTGCTGAAACTTTCTATTGTTATGTACCAAATCTTAAAAATTCTCCATTGACATGTTATGGTTATAACATAATATGTCGTTTATATAATGAAATTGCTTCAGCACTTATGTTCGTTTTTCTACCATCAACAATTATGTTTATATTCGGATATTGGACTGTACAAAATGTAAGAAAATTAAATCAGGCAATTGCACCAATGGTTATTACACATAGAACAATAGTTACAATGAAAAGGACAGATCGACAATTAATTCAAATGTTAATTGTTCAAATTATTCTATTGACTATATTTAATATTCCTTTGGCTATTCATCGTCTCTATTTAACATCGATGTTACATACTTCAAAAAGTTTGTTGAGATCGACAATCGACAATCTGTGTTTTCAATTCTTTTATCTTATTAGTTTTATGAGTTTTGGAATGCCATTTTATATTTATACATTAACTGGAGCAATGTTCAGAAAAGACTTTATGCAACTAGTTCAATTTGTTTATCGAAAAATGAAAATAGCAGCATTTTAAAAGTCGAAAAGTGTGAGTGTACGTATTCATAACTGTTTTGTGAAAAGATGATTGTTAATGAATGTTGAAGTACGGTGATACTCAAAAATAAATCGAAATTGTGCAAATAAAATATTTTGTATTTCATCATTTTGAATGAGACGAGATATTTTTTTAAACGCGTCTTTTAGTTCAAAAAGATAAAATTCAATATTACAATTGCTATTTATTTTTGTGTAGGATCTACGATCAATTTTGAGCAAAATTAAAGAATATCATTGTTAGTATTTGTGTTTTAGAGCAGCCAGTATATGACGAAGAGAGAGAGAGAGAGAGAGAGAGAGGGAGATTGCATTTAGACTAGATAAACTAGGGCAACAAGGTTATATTTTGACAAAATTCGAAACTCTATATTCTGACAACACCTTGAGATATTAGAAAAGGAAAGTTCTTTGTCAATTGTAGGATTAATTTTGAGCGCCACTGTGCATAACGAGAAAAATGGTACAATTGTCTCTTCCTTCCTCTGTTCCAAAGACAATAACTGACATGTCGGCAAAAATCTTTATCATTGTAAAACGTGAAAAAAACTTGTAGCGAGACTTCTCATGTGTGGTTCATTCAACTCCAATGCGTTATAGATTTTAATCTCGTAGAAATTGTATTCAAAGCTTTTTTACCCTAGTCACCAATGTATTACATGTTGCAAACAAATATTACTATTATTATGTTGTAAAAGTTGTTATTGTTGTTGTTGCTGAATTTTAAAAACTTTTATAGATGAAAACCTCTGTCAACAAAATAAATATTCAAGCTTCTCTTATTGTATCTATCGTTCTAAAACTCTCTAGAATCTGAATGACTCTTGCTGGAATACATGATTGATATCTTATGCTCTCATGGCATGCATTCAGAAAACCATGAAAATACTTAGAAATCATTGTCAAGTGTTGGATATGCAAGGCTCTTACTCTTCGATCTATTGAAGGCAACATCGAAATGATGAGTTTCAAAATGTTGACACATAATGAATATTCCATACCTAAAAGCAACAGATTCTAATAGATATGAGAATAGTTGAAAGGAAGATCTAACTTAGACTTATACACCCGTACCAATAGTTTTAAAAATTCCAGTCATTTCTTTCTCTTTGTTTTAAAATTATTCAAAAAATGCCCACGTCCGTTTAACTCGCACATGAACATTAGTAACAGATACACCATACGAAAGTGTACGATCAATCGACTAACTACACAAAATTTACTTTCGAAGGTCAACCTGTATGTTTTTCTCAGTGTATAACTAGTAATTGTATTATATTAGCCATAAAAAGAAAGATATGATGTTGACAGCACAGCTATAAAAGAGTATACATTCATGGCAAGCTTTATCATAATTCTTTGAAAAGATAAATGTTATTGTTTTTGACTTTTCTGCATTTCTTCTATTCGTAATAGAAAGAAAGCAATAAATGATAATTACAAATATATTAACAAAGCTTTATTAGAAGTGACTCATGAAATATTGGTAAATGAAACTGAATCATCGGTTGACTTATGTATATAAAAATCTATAGGCTCATAACACATATGAAGAACATCTGTAAAAGTCTGAAAACAAATACAAGTTTGAATACACTAATCCTGCGTATGAATATGTTTATCGGTGAAAATTGGCTTTGCTTATACATTACAAATGAACAAAACATTGAAATATCTTTATCTTTATAACCATGCCAGTAGTGATGAAGGTGTAACTGAAATTGTAAAAATTTTAGAACATAACACACCATTCGATTCTTATTACGTTGTCTCGAAATAATTTTACATTCAATGAATATTAAAACCCTAGTAGAAATATAAAAAACCAATACAATGTTAAGAGACCTTTCAATCGTAGAAAACAACATGTTTTACGAAATCCCGTCTGAACAATTTTTCTCATTTCAGTATTTGAATAGATTTCAGATTGTTTGTTCTTCGAGCTGAACTATGTTCAGCACGATCCCCTTTATTTATAGTAATTGAATCTCGATGATCAATGGAATAAATATGTTCTTCAGCGTTATCATCGCTTTGCGACGATATCTGATGTTAATTGATCGTTGATAATCGAAATGAACTCAAAGAATCATTTGAAAAGATGACATGACGATTCATTGATATTGTTGTCAATGATGCCAATCAGTTGTCACATTGATCTATCGTATAAAATCAGACGAGAAAATTGAGATTTCTTTAGAAAAAAAAAAAACTTTTAGAACGATGTTCTGTTTGAAAATTAGCTTTCAGAATTTTCATTTTGTTGCTTTGAGTTTGTTGAAAAATAAAATAACCGCTGATATTATGTTGAAAGAGATTGACATGGAAAAAGTGAAACGTTATATCGCATCGAAAAAAATCTCCGAATTGAATCTTGTCTAGAGAATATCGCGAGACAATCGTCTGTTGGATGCGCAACGAATAAAAAACTTCTTCCATACTCAATGTTCACGTTTGCTATATAAGATATTTTCAAAGCAAAGATCAAGTACTAGATCGAATGACAAACAATAGAAGAAAGAATGATTTTAAACTTGTTTAATATACAATTCAAATTAATGACCATATTAACACAGATGTAAATGTGTGAGTCTTCTGCTCAACTTCCTCACGGCTACAATCCTATACTAGAGTCCTAGAGCAGTTCAACTATTGAAACCCGTACCTGACATGATGTTCTTTAGTTAACCCGAGAATTTTATTCGTTTATTTATGTTTAATTAGCTACTTTCTTCGACTATGGTTATTCGATAAAAACTGAAATTTTTATAAAGGTACGGAATATATATATAAGAATGACATCCAGACGACCTCATTAGTTCTACAACGATATCAGAATTTATTATTCTTGCAGACAGTATCAGTAAACTCTTCACAATTTACATAGATTTTTTAATTAGCATGGTATCATGCAATTATAATATATTAGTTGTTATGACTCCATCTCTAATAAGAAACGATAATAATATAGTAGAGCTCTTTTATTAAAATTCTCTAAAATATTAACTACTATCACATGATTTAGAAGTGATAGTTTGGATGATGATCACTGAATTCGTATGGATAGGAATGTTTGGAAACAAAAATAGGAAGTAAAACGATTGTTAACGCTTATTGTCTTGTAATAGAGCGTGTTGAAATAAAAATTGTTTTCTATATTTGTCCCAGAACATATCTACCAGAAAGGCAAAGAGAAAAACACATCAGATTACTGTTGTATCCGATGTTATCGTTAAACATTTTTGAAAATTTTAATGAAAAAAAAAGGACAATGGTGTCGTGATTTCTTAGTATTTTTGAGGCAATATTATGTAAAGTTTAATATTTAATTTGAAGTATATATATACGTACAAGAATCTGTCTCTGCTCTAATGAATTTGTCTATATTTTATATAAGAATAAGAAATTATGAAATTATTTCAGAATTATTTGAATCATCGCTAGAGTATTTAAAGACTTTATGAACTGATAGCTTCATGATGCATTGATTTTACATCAGTTGTGAAAAGGTTCATAGAGAGTGGTAGATTGTATTAGGAAAAAAAACGATAATTTCCAAAGTTTAACTCGCATCCACCCGCGAATCGAATTATGTCGCAGGACTCCATCGAGCATATTAAAAGCGATATGCAACAAAATATAATCATAATCTCATTAAATAATCCGTCAGAATTCTGTTGATATTCATAATGGTAGATCAACTAGTTGTCAAAAATCAGCTAGGGTTGGTCTTTGGAGAACAATCCATGATTAGTGTCAATTTCGTTCAAAATTTCTTTTATTTTCTTTATCTTAGAACGATCACCTTTAGGACTACTATTTGTTATCCACCTAGAATCTGTGGCGAACCCATTTGATAAAATAAGTATAATACATGAAATTGCTATTAGTGTATCATGGACATGTAAATACTCTAGAGAAGACTTGATAAAAAGAAGAATAAACAAAAAAAAAGTTAATGTCAACTATATTTATCTAGTCTTTTTTTCATCGTCCTATCTTTATCTATTTTCGAAGCTTTTGAAATCATGCACCACTATTCAATCTCTACATATAGTTTGAACTGTTCTATCATAAGAAGAACAACTACATGCAATTGACTGATTTTATCTTTTGTACTGTACTAAATGTCTCCAATGCATACCTAAAAGAACATGGCTTGATTGCTTGTTATGAATGCATAACATTATAATGAATTTTATTAGAATCCGAACGAACACACTAGATAGTCACTAAGCATTCACATGCAGTTTTGCAAATAGTCTATTTACATAAATAATAGTTGAATGTAGCCGGTGGATATTATTAACGTATATAATATATTAGTCTTCACTAGACCAAATTCAAGAGATGAACAGTTTTATCTGATATTGTGCACTTATAAAAGTATGATAAAACTGACTGGGATGTGCGTTGACTCGAGGTGGTCGTGTTAGGGTGACGTGTAAATATAGCAAATTATTATTTTCAACCGATATAATCAAGAAAAACAACAGAACTGAAGCATATATATATAGAACTCTAATCTAAAACCAAGCTATCGATTAAATACCAACATACTAATTAATATTATGATTTCACTCATTAAAATTCAAAAATTTTAAAAATAAAAAAACTAATAAACTTTGGTTTTATTATCAAACAACAATTTTTCAATCCTAATTAAAAACATCAATACACTTCTATTCGGATATAATCATTTTACTGATTCATATAAATCAACACAAAAAAAAAAATACTTGTCGTCAAATACAATTCTATAGATACAGGTATATAACATTGTTCGACAAGTCGTTATCTAGTCAAAATATACATATATATATATATAACGATGATATATTGATTTCCATCGTCGCATAAAATACGAATACAATGAAAACATCTCAACTGACACAAAAAGGTTGCACTATCATTCTTAACTAGTATGCTTACACATCATCGATCTTGTTGATTGGATATGAAGAGAAATAGAAAAAAAAAACTTATCATAGATAAGTTAACATTTTTCTCTTGAGAATACATATGTGTATATCTTCATCGTTATGATCGATATCGAAGAATAGAACAATTTACAATAATGTCTGACTATCAATAACCATTATTACATGCAGTACTTGAATGTTACTGTTATTTTTAACCAATAGAAAAAAGACAATAACGAACAAGTGAATAAATGTATTCTCAATACGCTCGTACTAACTCAAACTAATAGATAATCAGATATTGACTATTTTATATTGAATTTAGATCATACGTAATAACATCAAGGCATATGTACGTAAGGATCAATTTTTTTTTTAAATACTTTTTTCTTCTTTAAAGAGAACAGAAGGTTAAAGATGTAAATAATTTACAAAAGGATTTAATGGTGGTAGAGGAAATTCATCAAACAAGAGACCGACTTTTTAATTATCTATTTCTATCACCATTATATAATGCCAAACTGATAAAAAAAAATATCTCTTTCACTTGTTTTATACGCATATAAATTAAACAAAAATAGAGATGATTATTGAATCTGTAATTCTATTTTTTTTATTTTTTACAAATGAGAAATCATAATATTGATCTTTAACATCTTACTCATTAAAAAAACATAAGAATACATATGTAGCAAATCATAGATCCGTCAACAATAAGTATATACAATTGATAAGAACAAAATGCCGTTCTGACTTTCTCTTTTAAACATATCAACAACAACAACAAAAGAACACATACTGTGGTTTGTCTTAATTGAAATGAAAGCACATGAATGTATATGTACACTGCTGGTGATCATTAAGAAACATGATATGATTGACGAAATAAAGAATCATCATCAAGAGCAAGTATCGAGAGTCAATATTTACATATGGATGGAAATAATCGATTGAAAATGTTCAAACGAAATGAATATGTGAGCAATTGACACAAATCTGTTTCCTATATTTGACTATAAGTACTGCCGACTTTATTCAATAAGAATCATTGAATATATAAAGACATCAATATGCAGCACGTGTATTAGTATTGATACTATTCAATCAATCAAAAAAGAACAAAATTATCAAATTTCAAAAGTTTAAAGACTAATCCTAATAATCAGAATGATTAATTGAACTTGTATAAGTAAAAAGAAAAGACTTTCTATATGAAAATGAATTCATTTTATTTCTATAAAACTAATAACCGTAAGCATGTCAACAAATGTTTATTAATATTTAATATGTATATAGAAATTTTTTGTCTTTTTCAACACGCATAATGAGATTTTTACCGATTGTTAAAACAACATAGAAAGACATGATTATTGAAGTATTTATTTTCTTTTTGTCAAGTCTCCTTTTGTGTATATATGACAAATTCAAGTTTAGTTTAACAATAGAAGACGTCAAGTGTTGCTTCTTTTTTTTTTTGTATAAATTGATTTGTAGACTTTTATTTATCACTAATCAGCATATTAATTGAAAATGATATACGTATAAGTATGTATGTCATTCGATATTTGCATTACAAATTGTGAAACCATTTCTTATATAGACTTTTATTTTTTTTTTTTCAGTACATAATGTTTGATAATTTGAACTAGATGAGTTAAAATGACTTCAATATATTAAGTTAATTACATAGATTTGAAATTTTAATTGTACATTTTGTTTTTTTAATTGAAATAAATTGAAAAAGTCTTGTTCATTTATGATACTTTAATTAATCTAGTGATCGAATTTTATATTAATATCTATTGTCATATGAGTTCGATAACAAAAAAAAAATTTTTTTTTTCTTAATTCTCCATTCAGAATGCATATAAATGGTCTGCTAAATTGCTGAGAGAGTTGCTGCTATTAGTGTATATGTTTTAACGAATGAGAAAAAAGAACTCTTTCTCTCTCTTTTTTTTTCTCTTATTTGCTTAATACACACGGGTATCATAATAATAATTTGTTAGTGTATATTATGTGTAATCGCTCCAATGTGTCTTTTTGCTTGATAGATGTTGAGAGTTTTCTTTATATATGTACATAAGAGGTACAAAAAAAAAAGATCGAGAGAGTACGTGATCGTACATAGACATTTGATAATCAAATAGAATATATATGTGTACACTGTTCTAGATTAGAACTTATTGTGATGAATGATGATAAATTGGAAACAATTGTACCTTCATTGGACAATGAGGACAAATTGGTAACAAGTCCAACAATAACTTGTCCTTCATCAATAATAGACATGACTTTAACAAATCGTATATTTTCATCAACTAATATGAATTCTTCGTCAATATCACCAGTTAAATCAACTTCTATTCGACGAACATTTAATATCTGTGATATTCTTGCTAAACCATCATCATTTGTTGATAGTAATAATAACAATAATACTAATAATACTCATCAACTTCATCAATGGAAATTTTTAATTGAACAACAATTACATTCAGATGATGAAATTAATGGTTCGATTAGTGATTGTGATATATCTGGTAAAGAAAAAAAATTTTTTTTTTCTTTCTTGAAAATATTGAATTAATAAAAACAAATAAATAAATTTTTTGTTTTAGATGAATGTTTATCTGATATAGATGATAAAATTCCTGATGATGATTTAAATGTATCAAAATCATCATCAACAAGTTCTGATAAAACAACAAAAGTACGACGACAACGAACAGCATTTACATATGAACAATTAGTTGCATTAGAAAATAAATTTAAACAAACAAGATATTTATCAGTTTGTGAACGACTTAATCTTGCATTAACATTATCACTTACAGAAACGCAAGTTAAAATTTGGTAGATTTAATTTTTGTTTTTTTGTTTTAAATTATTTATTTATTTATTTATTTTTGTTTTGAAACAAAGGTTTCAAAATCGACGAACAAAATGGAAAAAACAAAATCCCGGTCTCGATGTTAATTCTCCAACAATAAATTCATCATCATCATCAATTGGTATTCATCCAGCTGCTGCAGCTGCTTATGTTGCTTCATTTTATAATTCTCAACAACAAATCAAGGGATCTTCATCAACAAATTCATCATATCGATTATTATCACCACTTTATGCTGCATCATTATATGCTAATGCTCGAAAATTTACTTGACATATTAAATAAATGAATTTATGCATATATATATATTGTCTGTACGAGATTTTTTTAAATAACAAACACGTAGTGTCGTCATGTTTGACAAGAAATTGTGAAAACAGCGACAATATCGATTAACATTCATGAATATGTCGAGTAACACATTGTTCGCATCAGTCAAATGCCATTGTTTTGTTTTTAATATTAAACAAGATTATTCTTCGCTTTTTTCTTTCTTCATTTGATTAAAAATATTCGTAACTATCATATCTATTTGATTAATATAGAAAAAAAAAAGAAAAATTGAAATTGATTATAATTGTTTCATTATTTTGAGGTTATTATTATTATTATTATCTTAAATACTAAGAAGAACAATAAAAACACTTGTGTATTTATATGTATATACTCCTTATCAACATTGTAGATATAGACATTGATATTTTCTTAATGATTTATTCAATATTTCTCATTAATTATATGATCATAATCAAAAACATGTGGAGTAACAATGAAAAATCGAATCAATGATTAGTGATTTTTGTTTTAAGAACGATTGTTCTCTTGAGAATGTCTATGAAGTATATTTTCTTAAATATGAACAATCGAATTGAGAAGAAATCATTTTGATTGTTTCGTTAACAATAAAAAAAAGAAAATAATAATCATCATCAATTGTGAACTAATGATCAACACATGTATTAGAGAAAACTGTCTTCTAATCATTAAACGCTCTAGTAGAATATGGTTCTATGTTTCATCGACAGAATTTTATTGAGCAGTTTTTTTTTATGAAGAAAAACAAATACAATTTTGTATTAATAGAATATTGTTTCCATGCTGTTTCATCGTAGTCATGTTGAACGCATAATCTTTCTTTAATTCATCAATCACTACATATAGATTGGTCCAAAAAATCATCGGATAATTTTTAATTACGAATAACTTTTTATGGAAATACGAAAGAGGAGAGCTGCGATTTTCATTGTTGAAAACAGAAGACTTGGAGACATCGAGTCATATAAGAAACATGATATTCAAAAATATTTTTAGGAGAGTTTTGAAAAATTAAGATTTTCAAAGTTCCAATTACACTTTCAACTCTATGTACATCAGTTTATTTAGTCTTAGTTTTTCAAAACTCTTCTAACAAAAATTATGAATATTATGTTTTCTTTTAAGGTTCAATGTCCCTAAGTCTCGTCATTTCAATGGTGAAAACTGCAGCTCTCTTTCATCCTTCTATCGAAAGTTATTAAGAGTCAAAAACTATCCAATAGCTTTCGGGCTACCCTGTATAAGTTTGAATCGGAGTTATTAATATTTGCATTAAATTGGTGGCGCCAGTCTTCCAACTCAAGTCTGTGGGTATAGGACTGAAGAAGCCCAATATCTACACACACACCTGCTAATCGAAAACGTTTTCTACTGACTTTTCTTCTGATAGAACTATTCATTTTGAAAATGTCGGATGATATCATTACTGTTTAGTTTATTACTTTTTCTTTAAGGTAAGATTTCTTCAGTAAAATTCTGAAATTGTTCAGAAAACTATGAGATTAATTTTTGAATTCAAAATCAATTTATGTAAATTACACGATACTATATTTATAGAAATATTCTGTACTATTTGCTTCTGAATACGTGCGAAAATAAAGGAGATGTCGCCAACTACTGATAAAAATTGGCTCTCGTCAACAAGTACACGTTAGCTGCACTTCACATTGGTGAATTTGTCAACCAATTGACAAATGCTATTCATTTCCGTACTTCACATGCAGATCATTTTTCGTTTGCTAATAAAAACTAGAAAACTAAAATTTATGTTTAATAAATTTTTCCATTTAATCCAATAATAAATGCTAAGGTAACTGAATGTTCATTAGATAAATAAAAAGCTTTGTTCTTATATTTGAATTTTGATCTATATGAAAAAGATTCAATTTGTGCAATATATTTCAAAGTTTTATCAAAACGATTCTGTATAGAAATGTTATAAGAATATGTTGTGTACTTATTAAAACGTCAAACTAAAAAATTCTAATAAATATATTTTATAAATATGTGTACAGAGAATTATTTGAAAGTTAATGAGTTTATTAATGAAAACTCAAAATTCATTCTAGATAATGGAGTGTCGAATAGAATGATGTGCAATCGAAAAATACATCAAAATGAGATCTATTTTGAAAAAAATTCTTATTACCACCGGTGTCTTCTTTCTTGTCAATGTATTTCTATTATTAAGTCTCAGACATTTTCATCCAGTAACTAATAAAAATGAACCGGTTTGTTTATTGATATTTTTTCTTCTAATATTTTATTTATTGAGAGATTTTTTTCTTTAGGAACCACCTTTGGATAGGCCAATTAATCCGAAATTTCGACCACTTATTACTTCTACACTATCACCACCTATCCTATCCAAATTACCGGTAAGTTCTTAAGTATTTTGTAAAAAAATTAAATGTTTTTTTTTTGTGCCAATATAGAAAATCGATGTCATTCTACCTGTTGTTGTTTTTGGTTGTAATCGACCACATGCTCTTCAAACACATATTGAAGCTCTTCTTCGGTATATAGAAGAAAAACAAAATGATATTCTTAATAAACCAAAAAAAAAAATCAAATTTAATCTATTTAGAATTCGTAAAAATCCTGAATTACATCCAATTATAGTTAGTCTAGATTGTCATCATGATGCAACTGTTCAAGCTGCCAAAAATTTTGGTAACAAAATTAAAACAATTATCGAAGTATATATTTTTTTTTCCTGTTTCATCTAAAATAGTAATGAGTAATTGGAAAGCAATATGACGAAATATTCATTCATTTTTCAGCCTTTTAAAAGAGCCTGTAAAAATTCGGAATCATTAGGGTGAAATAAAATTTTTGTATTGTTTCCGAATATAGGATCGAAATTTGTCTAGGACTTTTAATTCATAGATGTCCATCGCGGCTGAGGATCTGCCATTGTCGTACCGCAGTCATAGGAGAGAGAAAGTTTCCGCACTGCTGCCGCACCGCGGTGATTTTTGAAAAAGAATGTCGCTGCCTCGTCGCCATCACTGCGGCGGCAGTGGCAGCCCAGAAGCGGTCGAGATCACTTTGCAAGTCTTTTTTTTCCATAGAAATCGAAAAATTGTCTAATGAGGAAGCGTTTCCAACTGATCCACGTCGTTTACAATAAAATTTTATCGATATGTTGTGGACATTATTCTAAGAAAAATCTTCATAGGGTTTGGGCTGATAGGACTGCCTTCAAAGATTATGAATTTCAATATGAAATATTGTTTAAATGTAGTTCTCATAGTCATTAGGATACTCTAAAAATTTCAGTGAAAAAAAATGTTTTCTTTTGAAAATGGCAATTCTTTAAAACTTGTTTCATAACCTATGAAGTTCAGAAATATTTTCCTTTTTTTGTAACAATTCAACATGACGACAAGAAAACTTTTTTTTTGTCACTGAAACTTTTAGAGTATTCTAATTAACACCAGAACCATATATGAGTAATACTTCTTTGAAGGAATCCCCATCAGGTTCAAACGCTCTTAGAATAATATCCTTCAACTTATGAACAAAATATAATTGAAAAAAGCATGAATTAGTTAGGAACCTTCCTTCATCAGTTAACATGTTGTCTCCTGCCAAAATATTCACTGTTAACAATTAACTTGCAGCAAATTAATCATTAGCATAACATTTTTTAGAGAAATATTTGCTCTTTCATTCGCTGTATTGATAATAATTTCCGCTTTATTTTGAGTAATTTTTAGCGCATCAAACTTCAATTATGAGCCTCTAAAAGGTCAGCGTATTACACCTAAACTAGAACCTCTAAAGAAATTTTGATCCACTTTCGGAAAGATCACAAAATTGTAATTTTAACCCAATATTTTAAAATTTCTTCAGACTCCTTTTAAGAGACTAAAAACTAAATGAACATTTTGTCAAATTACTTTTCGATCGCTCCCAGTTATTATTCGAATCTATTTAGTTACCTGATCTTGGTCCTATTCATGTTCCTTCACAATTTAGTCATATGGCTGGATATTATAAAATTGCACGTCATTATAATTATTCTATCAATTATGTTCTTAATACACTTAATTATGAAGCAATTATAATTACAGAAGGTTTGTTTGTGTTTGTTTTTTATTTGAAAATATTTTTAAACCTAACAAAAACAATCTTTATTCTTATTATTCATAGATGATTTGGAAGTATCACCAGATTTTCTTGATTATTTTCAAACACTTTATCCATTGTTATTATATGATAAAACTCTATGGTGTATATCAGCATGGAATGATAATGGTATTGATAAAAGAATTGCTCGAGAATCAAGTAAAAGAAAAGTTAATTAATATTGAATTTTGATATTAATCTTTGTTTCTTCCAAAGGTCTTCTTCATCGTACTGATTTTTTTCCTGGTCTTGGTTGGTTATTAAAGAAAACAATTTGGAATGAAATAAAAGCTAATTGGCCTGCAGGGTATGTTAAACCTTTTTGTTTTTTTAGAAGATTCGATAATCGATGATCTTACGTAGTTTTTGGGATGATTGGATGCGATTACCAGAACAACGTCATGATCGTGCTTGTATTCGTCCAGAAATATCACGTACAGCTATATCACCAGATGGTAAACAAGGAGTTAGTCAGTAAGTATATTCAGTTAAGTTATATGATCATTTTATTTTTATTTACTCTGTAGAGGTCAACATTATGACCGATATTTAAGAAAAATTGTTAAAAATAATGATCCTATTGATTGGACAGCTATTGATATTAGTTATCTTCTTAAAGTATGAAAAAAAAACTTTATTTCTTTTAAATAAAAGTGAATATTTATTTATTTTTTTGATAGGATCGATATGATCCAGTATTTCAAGCACAAATTGATGCTTGTCCAATTATTACTATATCCGATTTAGGACATTTAAAAAATGAAATGAAATGTGCTCAACTACGTTATAAAAATAAGAAGGAATTTGTTACTATAGCTGATACATTGGAAATCATGAACGATTTAAAGGTAATATTAGAACAAAAATGATAGAAATATAAATTGTATCCTTGAATTTTTCAAATACTACAGCTTTTAAAACTAATTTTAACTTTTATTTTCGATGTAAAAATCTCGGAAATTAATCTTTCATTCGGATGGATTTATTAAGAGAAAATCTTCTATGAAGTCAAGTATATCGCTGCTTCACGGAGATTTTAGAATAGTAAATAATGTTTCTTAATCATATCAGTTAGTCAATATCTTCGATTCGGAATATGTTTCAAAGTTGTGAGCATCGAGCAAGATTTTCGGTTCCTGTCCTGTGTCGATCCAAAGACATTTCAACCTTACAAGAAAATTCCCTTCGTAACAGAGTCAGCACTTTCGAGTCGCAATTATATCCATTACGTAGGCATTAATGAGCTATGAATATCCTGAGAAGAATTCGATTCCTTAGCTTATTGTTGCCGAGATGATGCACTTTTACAATATTTTTTTAATACAATATCGTGGTCCTCTTGAGGAACACTAAGAAAAATGATTTTCGAATTTTGATTCGAAACTTTGAACAGAGATAGACATATGTGAAAATATTGGTTTATTCTAAAAATTTCACGCCTTTTGATTTGTTCCTAGAAACATCCGGTCTTCCGTTGTATATGAGCAATATAAAAGATATGTTTTTATAAGAGTTTTACCTTAAGATAAGAACAATGGAAAATTTAGACGTGCAGAATTTGCCACGAAAACAAAAAATTTCTCCCCATATCAAAATAAAGATAAACTTGGATTTACTTTTTCATCTATACATTCGAAGAAATCAAAAGAGAATTTCATTTATTTAACACACATAAAAGTCATATAAAATATTAATCTTTATTGATCATCAATCATTAGAAGCGCAGTTTTCATTCAAAAAAAAACCAGTAATGGATTCTATAGTTAAATAAAACAATAAACTCTTTCAATACTTTCTACTGATAAATAGATCATAGAAATTGTGTATAAATCTTACGCACTTATTGCTACAAGAGAAAAATTTCTAACTGAAAAAATTTTCCGACAGCTAAATAATTTCACTCAACGTCCGTACACAAGTAGATTCTATACGTTTGGAAAAAAAAATTTTTCGGATATTTCTGAGGCGGACAGGATGACATTGATTTAAAAACTACCATAAAAAATGCGGTATCACTGCAACAATAAGCCAAGATCCGGAACTCTCTTCAGAGTATTCATAGCTCGTTAAGATCTACATATTGGATATTGTTTCGATTCAAAAGTTATCAATCAGTGGAAACTTCCTTCGTTAAAAAGAAATTCTGATAGAAGAAATATAGAGTAACAATCATAATCAAGGAACTGCAGATCCTTTCAGACTTGGGGCCGGACCCACAAAATGTGAACTCGTAGCTCCGTACTGATAATAATTTAAAATTTCTTTTTTGTTTCAGAGCAATGTACCTCGAACAGCTTATCGTGGTGTAGTGCAATGTCGTTATGGTCAAACAACTATCTTTGTTACACCAAATCAACAACCATGGAAAGGCTATGAATAATAAATGCCATCGAATAATTAATTCGATTTGGGAAATCTTTTGTTTTATTGTGTTTTTATAAAACTTATAGGCTACATTGTGATAAAATTCATTTTATATGTTGGTTTTTTTTTCTGAGTTAAATTATTCTATCTTTGATTATAACTTGTTTTTTTTTGTGTTACATCTGTTTTATAAATAATCTCATAAAGAAAAAAAAACATACGTTACTCTAGTTCTTTAATATATTAAATACAATTCTATCTAAGAAAACTTAATTTAAGTTGGAATAATAATAAAAAAACAAGAAGAAGGTAATTTTTTAGATGCTTCTTAGACAATGTTTATCACGTGGTTTTCATCAAAAATTTCGTTTTTGTCTATATCATTATCGTTTACTATCTACACGTCGTAGAAATCCGTTAGGTATTCAAATGCTTAGTTCGAAATTACATAAACAATTATTTTCATCAGTTGGTGAACCAGTTTATGCAGACGAAAATATTGAAAAATCTAAAGTTCATCTTCAACAATTTGATCTGGGTTCAAATGAAAGTGAAATACTTGATGATATTGAATTTAATTTACCTCCACTAGAAAGTAAAAATTTAACTAAACATTTTGAAATTATTGCACGAAAACAATCAAAACCATATGTTGATCTTATTTATCAATTAATTAAAGCTAATATACCATCACAACCAACTGCATGGAAATCTGCTAAAGGATGGACAAAGTTTGTTTGGAATTAATTTAAAAAAAATATGATGATTAATTTGTTTTTCTTCTGAAAAGATATTCAGAAAATGGTCAAACAACAATTTATGTTGATCATCCAGATGAAAAAGTGTTGGTTTTTGATGTTGAAACTTTAGTTTGTGAAGGAAATTTTCCTGTTTTAGCTGTTGCACTTTCACCTAATCATTGGTTTGTAGTTTTTGTGATAGACTATGTAGAAATATATTTTCGAATTAAAGATTTTTGCTTTTTATTTTTCAGGTATTCTTGGTGTAGTTCACGTTTAATTGATGAAGAATTTCGTTTAAAAAGTAATGTTGAATTAAATGATATGATACCAATTGAACCAAATCCATCTATACCATCACTTATTATTGGTCATAATGTTGCATTTGATCGTACATATATTAAAGAACAATATCAATTCGAAGTAAAATAAAAATAATTGATTGAATAGAATTTTCAAAATTTTGTAAATTTAGAGTAGTGCTATGCGTTTTCTTGATACAATGAGTTTACATATAATGTGTTCGGGTTTTACACATGCACAACGATTACAATATCAAGCATTTGAAAAAGGTTCATCATTAAAAACAGATGATAAAGATGATATATCTGAAGAAGAAGATCTTGATGAACAATATTTATCAATGTTATTAGCTAGTGAAAAAGAGAAAGATACCAAAGCATATATAAAAATGCGTAATACACAAGTATGTTAATTTTGAAAATGGATAGTTTAGAATATATGAATCCTTGCATTGGTGAACGATAAGCATGAAGAAACTTTAGTTCCGAAAATTTAAACATACACAAATAAATGTAGGTAAGAGGTGTGGATATGGATGGAAATGAAGATGAGAAGATTAACATCGATATACATTCATTAATCTTCCAATAGACATCATATTTATCTTCAATTTTCTGAGTGCTTAATTTTCCCATGCTCATCATTTTAGTTCTCGAATCATTTGTTAGTATGATATTTTTCAATATTAACCATTCTATAAGAACATGATAAATTTCTATTTTCAGGAAATTTAAACTTCATCACGATATAATATGAAAACGTTATCCATCAGAGAAACATGGGTCCACAAGAAATCAAATGTAAACAGTTTCACTTTTATGTTTACATATCTTTTAAAGCTGTAGGAATATTTTGGTCGTTTTAGTCATTTTAGTTCTTTTAGGTATGGTTGAAGGATACATGCCTATTCACGTACACTCAATCTATACCTAAAGGAACTAAAAGGAATGCAAGGGTGAAAAATATGAATAGCCAAAATTCAGATGGCGAAGTTTTGGTTTACTCCAACCCAATCCTCCTTATATCTCAAAGTGTTCAATTAAATTTTTGTAGAATTTTTCTCATCGTCATTTCATTTGAATTATCCGGGAATAGAAACTTACTATCTGATGAATTCTGTCAGATATTGCCTAGATCAAAACTAAGAAAACACGGAAATTATCACCAATGGCTAGGTTGTTGTTGCTATATATCACGAATATTTGAACTTAACGTCTTGTCGAAAATTTTTCTGTGATATTCATTTGCATTACATACGATATGAAGATTGGAAATTTTTTGAAATATTTATGTGTTTATCAGTCTACTGTTATATTCAATTAGTATAGTTTTTCTTTAAAATACAAAATCAGAAATGTACTATATTCAACAATAGATAAATTTGTAATTTATTATTCATTATTATTAATATTATAAATAATCAAATAGAAAATTTTTCATATATTATTTGTTTGATTATATTAAGAATCTTCGATGGAAATTAGAAAGTAGTTTAAATAATCTTGTATCGGTACATAAACTTTATTGTAAACCAAAAACACCATTAAGTAAAGAAATGCAACAAGTATTTATTAATGGAAATATTTCTGATGTGCGCCAACATTTTCAAGTAAATCAAATTTTAATTTAAAACTATTTCTTTTTAATTATTATTTAAAGAAATTAATGACTTATTGTGCAAATGATGTAAAAGCAACATATGAAGTATCACAAAAAGTCTATCCAATGTTTGAAGAAAGGTAATTCATTTAAATGAATTTAATTTTTCTTGTTTGTTTGTTTTTCTTTAAATATTAATACGAATATAGATTTCCTCATCCAGTAACATTAAGTGGTATGCTTGAAATGAGTCAAATGTTTTTACCAGTTAATAATAATTGGATAAGATTTATTCATGAAGCTGAACGAACATATGAAAGTATTAATTCTGATATTCAACATGTACTTATGGAAATTGCTAATGAAGCATGTCATCAAACTATTGATCAAAAGTATAAAACACATGTGAAAACTTCTTTTTTTAGTTTTATTTCTATTAGATATAAAAATGATCCTTGGTTATGGGACCTTGATTGGAGTACTCAATCAATGCGTTTTCTTAAATCATCAAAAGCTAAACCATCAATAACAAAACTTGAACAAAAACCAGATAATCCTATTTTCAAAATTGGTGGAAATATTTGGCCAACTAAAATAATGACAGACAATGATCCAGAATTCGCACCAAGTCCAAATATACAAAAAATTCTTGATACATATTCTACTTTAGCTAAAATTCAACCACATATGCCAGGATATCCAAGGTTAAAAATCAAATTATATTTGATAAAAAAAAAAATATTTTTCATTTTTGTTTTATAGTTGGTATCGTGATTTATGTATGAAACAGCCAAAAAATGATCTAAACGATGAAGAATCAGCTTGGAAAGCAGGTCCACAATTAATTTCTACTAAAATGCGTATTGTTCCGAAGTTATTACGTCTTACTTGGCTTGGTTATCCTTTGCATTATGATAACAAATATGGATGGGGATATTTAGTACCAGGTTTAAAAATCAATCAAGAAGAAGAAGGAGAAGAAGAAGATGAAAAAAGTGATTTTCCTTATGAGTAAGTATATGTGTTAAATTTGAATAGATATTTTATTCTTTCTCAAGAGCAATCAAACAAGTATGTGCCGAAACAAGGCCATTTGAACGTAGTAAAACAAATATGGAATTACAAGAAATTGATGATAATTTAAAAGCATTAGCAAAAGAAATTGAAGAACTTGAAGATCAAAACAATGCTCATCTTTTTATGGAAAATCTTTTACAACAACAAGAAAAATTAATTGAAAGAGTATGTTAAATATTTATTATTTCTTCTTGATAGATATATTTTTTTATTCTCTGTAGCGTCAAAAACTTCTTCCATCTGATACATCTTGTCCTATTCATCAAGGTAATGGACCTTATAAAGTATCGAATGTACCTGGTTGTTGGTTTTTTAAAATACCACATAAAGTAAATCCAAAAAAGAAAAAAGAAAAATTAGATTTTGATATCTAGAAAGTTTGATTATATAGGATGGAAATGAAAAAAATGTTGGTAATCCTTTAGCAAAATCATTTGCTTCAAAAATTGCTGATGGAACATTACGTGCTCATGAATCAACAGCTGCTAAATGGCTTCTTGAATGGAGTAAAATGTTAAGCTATTGGGAAAATAATGAAAAGAGAATCAAGTAAAATTTTATGAAAAATAAAAAAAAAAAACAATAAAATAAAAATTTTTAATTTATTCTATAAGATCTCAAAAGGCTGTACAAATAAAAGACGATGGTACATCTATTATTTTACCTCGTGTTGTCGTTGCTGGTACAGTTACACGACGAGCTGTTGAACCAACATGGTTAACAGCATCAAATGCTCAAGTAAAAAAAAATGATTGATTATGTTTTAATTTTATTAAATAAACACATTGTTTCATTTTAGACTGATCGTATTGGAAGTGAACTTAAAGCTATGGTACAAGCACCGTCAGGTTATTGTTTTGTTGGTGCTGATGTTGATAGTCAAGAATTATGGATTGCTTCAATTCTTGCTGATGCAAAATATGCTGAAATGCATGGTAGATTTATGAAAGAATATATTTAAATTTTGAAAAAGAAGTGTTGTTGTTGTTGGTTTTTTTTATTAGGTTCGACAGCATTTGGTTGGATGAATTTACAAGGAAAAAAGAAAGATGGAACTGATCTTCATAGTAAAGTAGCCAATTTAGTTGGTATTAGTCGAGATCAAGCAAAAGTCAGTAAATATAATCATGAAAAAAAACAAGATATTTAATGATTAATTGATTTATTAAGGTATTTAACTATGGACGAATGTATGGAGCAGGAAAAACCTTTGCAGAAAAATTATTAATGCAATTTAATCATCAATTATCAGTTGTTGAAGCAAAAGAAAAAGCAACTCTTATGTACTCTAAAACAAAAGGAACCAAGTATGAAAGATTTCTTCTTCTTCTTCTTTATTGAGATGATGAATTCTTTTGTTTTTGTTTTTTAGAGATCGGAAAACTGATCTATGGCAAGGTGGTTCAGAATCTGAAATGTTCAATAGTCTTGAAGTAATTGCACGCAGTAAATTACCCAAAACACCTGTACTTGATTGTCGTATTAGTCGTGCACTTGAACCACACAATGTTAATGATGGTGTAAGAATAAATTTGTTTTATTAAATCTAATTATGTTTAATTATAATTATATTTTATTAGTATATGACAAGTCGTGTAAACTGGGTTGTACAAAGTTCAGCTGTTGATTATCTTCATCTGATGCTTGT